GCAATGCAATTGTTGTGTTCAGAACTATCATTACACCATGGGCGTAAATCTACAATTGATACCTATATTGTTCGGGGGGGGGGGGTGATCTATTCATTCATCCCCCCCCCCCCCTGAACAATAGGTATTACGTAAGGATTTACACCCATGCATTACACTGAAATAGATTGCATGGATTAATTTGTGGGGAAAGCTAGGTGAATTCAAAGCATTATTAATCATGTATCATCTATAAAAAAAAAAAAAATCTAAAATCTAGAATCGCTATCACTATAGTACAAGGATTTTTTACATTACTGTTATTGAATTGAATTGAAATTTATTGTCCCTTTCAGGAAATTCTCTTTTCACTGGTTTTAGTCATTGTATATACATAATACAAGAAGTTTAATACAATAATATCAAATGTTCATCTTCACAAACATAATAACATTCTGAAAATGGAGATTTGATTATCAATACTACGATGGCAAAAACTAATGCACTTCGAGTTGGAGTCGTATGCAATGACTATGGCCTATAATAGTGCCTATAGAAATGGTTCGGATAATTATATCATTCATTCATTGTCCTGTCCACACACAAAGGTTGACGTACGATACGTGCAAGTGACAAGTTTCGGACGGATGTGATACAATTCATAGACCTAAGGCTTTAATTATTTTATAGGTTAAAACTATAGCCTTGATTAATTTGTTCACAACGAATATATTTTTTAAAAATAGCTTACCAATAAGTCCAGTTGTACCGGAAAATCGAGAATGCTTGACGTGAAGTTCTGGCTGGGCTTGGTGGGTTCGAAGCATCCAGAAATAAACATGCACTGCAGCCTGCTGGTATAGTACACAGTGTACGTAGCACAGTCGTTCGTAGCGCGGAGTGGGGAATCCCCACCCTGGAAATCCCCACAGCCTATAGAACTATAGGCAGATCCGTGGATCGAGCAGTACGTCTTTTTGTATGACGTCTTGAGAAATGAAATAGAACAATTAAATTGTGAACTATTGCATTATTTCAGTTCGTTATCAACACGAACGCAAATATATATACAGAGGCGGCCCTCCCGCGGGGAACAGTGCCCCCTCACTTTTCCAGGTACCCCAAAGTGCCCCTTTTTAAAATATAGGACAATTGCCCCGTTTCCTTTTTAAGAACTGCCCTATCCCCTTCTAATAAGTGCCCCATTTCCTTTTGATAAGCACACCCCCCCCCATAATAAATAAGATCCCCTTCAATTTCTCACCAAGTTCCCTTTTCACTTCTGATAAATGCCTCTATTCAAAGACCAATAAGTGACCCTTTTCCATTGTCATAAGTGCCCTTTTTCACCTCTGATATCATATGTGCCCCTTTTCAGGTACGAGAAGTGCCCCCCTCATCTGAGATAATTCCCCCTTGGCTATTCAAATCTGACAGGTACAACTAAGTCCCCTTTTCCTTTGTAATAACTGCCCCCCCCCCCTTCCTTTCTGATAATTGTTCATTTTCTTCTTTGATGAGTGCCCCTGTTCATCTCTGATAAGTGCCCCTTTTATTCTGATAAGTGCCCCTTTTCCTTCTCATAAATGCCCCTTTTTCACCCCCAATAATCTCCACTATCAAAATCTGACAGGGGCCCCTTTTCCATTCTCATAAGTGCTTCTTTTTTTTTTATCTCTGGCGAGTGCCTCTTTTCAGGGGCCAGAAATTCCAATTTTCACCTTTGATGTTTTTGCCCTTTTTCTTTAACGTGTTTCCATTTCGCTTTCATCTTTCATTTTTCTAGAAAATTAATAATATTTTTGAAAATCAATTAATCATAACAAACCATCCAAGATCACTGCAATCACTATAGCATTTCGACCCCCCCCCCCCCCTCTTTCCCCTTCCAAAGGTATGAATGTCGCTCTAAAAGCGCAGACCTTTGGTGTTCCACTTTTCCAGGCGGAATAATATTGATTATTAAAATAAAATAAGATTTTATAAGTTTATCTACGTTACGGAATTCAGCGGGCTAACACTTTGATTAGTTTCAAGTTTTCAAGTTTTATTTCAATTCAAATCCATTAAAAACATATAAGATACAGATTATATGCAGTATACAAAACACACAAAATGGAAACATGTCAACAAATATACCGGAATTATACAAAGTTAATCAGCAATTGAAATGAATTGGGGAAACTGCAACTTAAACCACAAGGTTCTGTCGGCGGCAGTCCCTGTTATTAAAAGATACATAAAAGTTCCAACAATTGGCTATACAAAATATAACAATAACAAAACAGTGTACAAAACATAGTATTAACATGCAAATATTATTATAGATTTAAAAACATGATGAAGTATTTTTTAATTCTAGATTTAAATAGTTAAAGAAAGTAGTATCACGGATATCTCTGGGGAGAGAATTCCATATTTTCGGGCCAGTGTGTCTAAAAGTAAATAAAGAACTTGTTGATGGACATTTTTCAATAAAATAGTTATCAGGATTTCTAGTATTATAATTATGAACAAATTTTCTACATTTCATCATAGTGGTAAGATTAATCGGTAAATTATCAGTTTTATGTTTAAAAACCATGAGTGATATACGATATTGATTCAATTGAAAAATATTTAAAAACTGTGGTTGTTGAAATAATGGTATTGAATGGGCATTGAAATCAGATATAAGACATTAACCTTACTACACGCTTTTCTATATGCAGTAGTTGTAATCTCGTTGGGTATGAGTGCCCCATACAACATTACAATACATTAAATACGGTAAAACCATTGTATTATACAATATAATCAAAATAGTTATGGCAAGATATGACGTAATTTGCTGATTAGTAAATGATATTATATGTTTGCCATTAATAGGCCTAGTATACGTGTTGAAAAGGCAAGGAAGAAAACAATGATTTCAATATTCGATTCCAATGAGTTCTTTAGGGCACTACATTTTATATTACTTAAAGTCTGAGTGCAAATGTTTAACTCTGACACTTTTACTTTTGACAATATTTTAACCCTTGCATTTTTACCCCTGGCTTTTTTTACCTCACATCAAATGTTCTGGGTGAAAATAATAATTGTGTTTTTGGTCGGACTCCTAGCCAATACTCGTTATCAAAGGTACTATGTCCCATTTGCAGGCCCAAAAAATGAAAAAGTTAAATTCCAACTGCATTTGAAAGATAATACTTATTTAGAACTTCCCTAAAAAGGTGGGGCTTGAAAATGTCTTCAAGTGGGAAAATAATGACTATTAGTTGTCAAATCGACTTTAGGGTTATAGAGCCCAAAAGTAATAGTCTTGATTTTCAGACAATTGTACCGCTGGTCATACGTTTTATGCTGCGCAAAGATTCAATCAGTTTAATCTTGGCCATTACAAGAAGTGGGTTATTGACGTAGAAATATGCTCATGTACCCTTTACAACTCTTTTCATGTATGTTATTACCAAAGAAGAAAAAAGGCCAGTCAGTCACTGAATAATGTCTGACAGTGAAGTCTAGCAAGTAAACAGATTTCCTTGCATAATTTGAATATGAGGACACTGCTAACGTTTAAATTTCACAGATAGGACATACATGACATATTCATAATTCCTGCAAAGTTCTACAGAATTTGAGGTTGGCTGCAAAAGGAACATAGTACCTTTAACATTCCTAAAAAATATTCTCAGTCTTCTCCAAAAGATACTAATCAAAGGAAGAAATGGCAATAAATGATTGAATCAATGGGCCAAGTGAAATATCTGGATTAAAACGATGCAAGAGGAATCATGAAAGTAGGGGTAAATCATGAAATTAAAAAGCGCAGAGTTGCTTGAACCGAGTCATCACTGACATAATAGTAATAATAATGTTCAATTCCAGACAATGACAATGACCCCCCACATTGGGGTATTGAAGAAGTTAACAATCAGTTTTAATTTTCAATTTAACACTGTAAAATATACAATACAAATCGAATTAATGTTAATCAATACAAAATGACACTATCGACTAGTGAGAAAAATTATAATGATAATAATAACAATATTATTAATAACAGTTATTTATAATAATTAAAAAACAAAACGATAATAAAAATTACAACGATAATTAATGACGAAATTAATGGAATTTTGGGAGTACACAACATGCAGTCCCTCCGACCCCGACGGTGGGGCCGGGGGGGGGGGGGTCGGGGAATGAATGCTTTGAAGATGAACAGAGATTACGAGTAAGACAGTCGGTCGACGACTTTTGCGAATACCTTGGAGCATCATTGTGTTTCATATATACAATTGTTAAGAGTTATACAAGCGAATCTATCTCTTTCAGGTATCCAGTTCGTATATACAACACAGAAGTAATGTGATGATACGCGTGTTTTGGCGGGAAAGTAATGAAAGAGAGAAATAGATTACACTACAAGATCATAAACAGAGAATAATTTAAGGATTGGTATAGGAAGAAAATGATAGACGTGATAAAAACAAAGAAAAACGTAAGAAGGTATTGCATTTTAGAAGGAAGAAACGAGTTAAGTAACACAAGGAAAGGCAGAAAGAGATGGTGATAGAAGATAAAACCAAAGAATAACATAAGAGAAGGGGATATATCAAGGACGAAACGAATATAACATAAGGAATGGTAGGAAGAAAGTGATAGAATTTATAAAAAAATAATAATAATAACATAAGAAAGGTGATAGAAGGAAGAAACAAAGAAAAATTACATGACGCTTTTAGCCCAAATATTTATTTTTTATTTACGCTCGTAGACAAAAAGTTTTAAGTGAAAATTACAGAAATTTCATAAATCTATTCACCAATTACCAGGTACTTTGTAACATTGTCAATAAACAAAATGCTTTTAGTATGGTTCTTTATGCCGGGAATTAATAATATATGTATATATATATATATTCAACAATTTCTGAAAGTATGAATTGAAAAGAAGATCATTTACCCACAAAAAATGTAAAAGAACATGACGTTGTTGTTCGTTTGGTATTATAATGGATCGACTTTGGATGGTGGTATTTTGCCCCATCTGGATAACGAAACTTTTTTTTCCTCGTAATTTTTTTAGTGTTTGTAAGACACCATAGCACTGAATTGTCAACATTCGACATGTCGTCTGGTAAGATTATTTTTTGTTAATTTATCGGAATTTCAGGATATATAATATGTGAACTCACATTTGATGTATTTTAATCACCATTTTTTGAATGTGTGTATCAATGTTATGCTACGTATAAATGTTGTATGAGCATGCATGCATGGAGGTTTCCAAGTGTGATTCTATGCATGCCGTTTATGGAATGTGGTCAGTGAGTGACACAGCAGTGTTGATCGAGTGTGTGGGTAGTCTAGCTAGGCATACTTGCCAACTTGGGCCTTAATCTTTGTTACAATATTGGGTGCAGTGCAGTGCTTATGTGACCCTGAGGAGTAGGGGCACTGGTACGAGAATAAGGATTGTCTGCCTAAATGCAGACCGATGCGTCCTCAAAAATAAGGATCGTCTGCATTTTGAACGGCGATGCGAAAAACGGAATCTGCTATGATTTTTTTGATGTAGGGTCTATTTCACATCAACTTTGCACAGAGACTTTCACGTTATAAACAATAAATCATCAGGAAGGCGGACAACCCATGAAAATAAATGGTGAATTGGGGGGATTTTATTATGCGGAATCTGTTTTTCTCATTGCCAGCGCGCGTATCGGGAAGCCTAGATCTATACCTGTAGATCCCAGGCCAGAAGAAGAAAAAAAAATGTCTGCAAATGCGAAAGATCATTATTTTTTTAGGACGCGATTTGTTCGCGTTTACAAGGATATCCTCGTTTATGCAGACAAACCTCATTCTCGGACCAGCACCCCTACTGTACTTAAAGCTTGGCAGAGAAGTACAGGTGATGGCGTCCTGCGGTAGTGAGTTCCAGAGCCTGGTGGTTTCTGGAAAGAAACTCCTTTGCAGTACTTGTGTCCGGGCATATGGCACTTGAAGTTTCTGGTCATGGCCTCTTTGCGGAGCAGGTAGTGATGGAGTCTGGGGGATGGATATCAGCGGGCTCTCCTTTCTTGCAAAGATGGCCATTGTATTTGGTGGAGCATGCATGCTGTGACACTGCTTGTTCTTCCATGGTCATTGCCTTTGTACTGTAGCTTATCTTCATAATGCAGACTGGGGCTGGCCTGGGACCAAGCTCAGCAGACTGCACTTGGTGGTAGACCGAAAATTCTGTCTCTTTTGTTTGTTAGCCGCAGTCTTCTTTGGGTAGGATCCGCTCCTCATTTAAGACTCTTTAGAGACAGAAACCGACCATAGGGTCTGCTGTGCAAACATTGATTTTTAGCGGATGCATGTATCTGATGCATTCGTGAGCAATATAGAATACGGCTGCAAGATTTGCAACAGGGACTTGTAATTTGACTCATAATTTCCTGAAAAAGGACCATTAAACGCATTATACAGGGGTGATAGCAGGACGTCCCCGCGAGCCTATAAAAACAAATATGCTTCCAATACTAAAGCAGTCTCTATTTATATCTTTTACATGACATTGTATATACCATATTCACAAAAAAATCTACAAAGAATTCTTATCTTATCCTTTTCTTGAGTAAAAACTGGTTAAAACATCACAGTAAATCGATGTCTTCAAATCAGCTTTATAAGGGGGAAAAATATATTGAAGAGATTTGAAATTATTTACACTATTTATTATATTCTATTGCTTTCGTCCTTTGAATCTTAAGGGTCTTTGTATAGTTTATCACTTTAATCTGTCTGTAATCTGCTCATCACATCCCTCACATTTTTCCTTTATCACCTCTTCTATCATCTTTTATTTATGTATATCTTTGATTGGAGTCGGGCCAACTCGGACCAGCTGTAAAAACGGTCATTTTTTGCATGTTTAGGTTTAGGGTTAGGTTTAGTGTTAGGGTTAGGGTTAGGGTTAGAGTTAGGGTTAGAGTTAGGGTAAAATGACCGTTTTTGCAGCTGGGCCGAGTTGTCCCCTGGTCCGAGTTAGCCCGGATCCCTTTGATTCTTCTACCATCCATTTCTTGAATTCCTTCTGTTATAACTTCTTAATCGTATTTCTGCCCTCTGTTGTAGTTTCTCTGTTTTGTTATAGTTTTTTTCTTTTAATTCCCTCTTAATTTTTCCCCATCTTTATGTTAATTGTTAATTCTTTTGGTGCATTCTACCACAATTTTCCATTAGGCATATAATATGCTCCCTTTTCTTCTACAATTTGTTTTATATTGTTTCCCACAAGTATTCATCTTCTCTTTCTATATTTCCATCATTCCTTGTAATTTCCATCCTCTTATGGTTTATTCCCCACTTAATTTTTATATGTCGGTCTTTTAAAATTTTGCTTTCTACATTTTATTTTATCCCTTTATTTCCCTTTTCTTTTTCTCTCATGTAAATCTTGATTTTCTCCAATCATTAACTTTATCACTTTTAAATCTGGCATATGAATTCTTTTAATTCCTTTTGTAAAACATTTTTTCCTTTGTATTCCATTTCCTGGGTAGTTCTATATTTTCCACATCTTCTCACTCATTCCATTCCTTCCTTTTTCATCCTATTAACAGGCCTATCATATTCCCTTATAGTATTACACTTTCTCTAAAATCCACTTTCTCTAAAATCCACTTTGTCTTTCCTATTATGTTAGCCTTACATGTAATTCTTGTCTTCCTATTTTTCTATCATTAAAAAAAAACAATTACAAGTTCCAACTTTTTTTAGAGTAAATTTCCCCACGCACCCCCATTGAAAAATGGTTAAAAACAGTCATTAATTTAAGTTAGATTTTCCCAGAGTGCAGGGCCGATTTGAAGACACCATTAAAAAAAAACAGTTGCCTGAATGTTACAATCATTCGGGAATCGCACACACACTGGACTGTATTTTGTATCCGCCCTCGCACAAAGAAACTTAAAACACGTACCGGTAAACCTATGAGAATTTCACCAAAATTTATTAAAATGCAGCCCGTTAAAGGTAAAGACCAGTTTTGGAAATGTCCCCCCCCCCCCCCCCTCTCAAAAAATGACATGGAAGCTCTTATTACCAATCATGTGAAAGAATATGTTTTGACTAATTCATGTACATGATGATTACAATTTTGCCAGGAAACTGCCTACTAATTGATATATTTGGTAAATTAGTTTAGCTATTTGGATGTGATAGATATAACGCACGTGTCGCGCACGTGTGCATAGTCCCATATGCGTCTTTCCGTGTACAGTGCTTAACTTTACAAAGACTGGGCCAAATTTCTTATCATTTTGATGATTCCAGAACCTTGCAGTACACACCAATACTTATATGCTAGATGATCAACCTTTTCTGATCGATTCCACAACGTTTCTTTCACAATGCAATCGCATGACCATAACTGGTCTTTATCTTTAACCGGTGCATGCAGTCATCTTTTAAAAGACTATCGACCGTTAGGCGGGCTTACTGGCATCTTTTAAAAGACTATTGACCGGTAGGCAGGCTTGCAGGCATCTTTTAAAAGACTATTGACCAATAGGCGGGCATGGCTAAAATCACGACACCAATTTCGACCAATCAGATGGCTAGATTTTATAAAGAGAGGTAGTGAAATGAAGCCTTCTCAAGGAAAATAAGAACACTGGCCTTTATTTTAAAAGGGGATGACCCACTCTGGTATACATTCTTAATGGCTGCATGCACGCTACCTACATGTATAGAGTGGTGAAGTGTGACGTCATTAAAAATCTATGTTTAGAATTTCTCAATTTTTTCTTCATTTTCGGAAAGACCATTAAAAATAATGTCCAAATGTCGAAGACCAATCGAATATGTTAAAGCTTATCTGCCGTAGTTTATAGGAGAGATTAGACTGCCCTGCAAGGTCACTGGACAGGTGGTTATCTCCTCAACTCAGCTCTCAGTTAACATAAGAAAAAGAGGATCATGGGGGAGCAATGGTCACTGATTGGGCATTGTTTGTTATATAGAGGGCGCAAGTAGCTGCAAGTAGTGCAGTGGGCCTTTAAGTATTGGCTGAGATATGACCATCTGAATAAATATACTTCCTATAGGAACTCAGTGTTATATGCTCTGGCTCTAACCAGGAGCCAGAGCATATAACACTGAGTTCCTATAGGAAATCTTTTCATTCAGGTGGTCATATCTCGGCCAATACTTAACACATTCAATTAGTTTTCGACATTTGGACATTATTTTTTATGGTCTTTCTGAAAATGAAGACAAAAATTGAGAAATTCTAAAAATAGATTTTTATGACGTCACAGCTTCTGTACTCTATACAGTATAGTATTAATGACTGCTTGTAGCCCAATTGTAACCTTCCCGAGAGCGTATAAAAACAACTATTTCTCGAATATTAAAGCAGTCATTAATACTTTTATATGCCGAAAACAAAAGAGTCAACTAATGACACCACCTTGGCCTTTCTCTAGTTTATCTGCACGGTTGTTTTTTATGAGTGTATCTTTGAGAGTACACTAGATCTACTAGTCTAAGCAAGATATTTTTACAATTTTAGGGGTGGGCCGGCCCTGTGGGGAATATGGAGAAGAACCTGCGCTTTCATATGACACCTCACTTATTGAGTATCACCTTCAGGATCATAACAGATTATAAAGGTTTGAATCTCGAATTGAAAAAAAAACTTGATCTTTTTTGCATGGTCGCGGAATGCACGTAGACTGCATAGGGACTGCATTGCATACAATCTCTATGGGAATAATTTTAACACACAACATCGGGTGCGCGATCAGACACCCTGACAACTAGATCTATTTTCGTCTAGAGTCTATAGGTCTATGCTTTTTCAGCAACTAAACGAACATGTTTATGGATAATTTCACGTACCCTTTTTGTTGTTCTTGCTGTCAGCGAGTCTTGCATTTGATAAGTTGAAATCTTGGGAGAGATTCTTGAGCCATTTTTGTCTTGTTTGGAATTGTCTTGTCTTGTATGAAAATACCGACCAATTCTTCGCACACGTACGGTATCCTTGATCGCTCAAACCATTTTTTAACATGTAAACCTATGGGGTAACCATGGAGACTGACCTATTTTCCCGGTAACCATGGTTATTGGGAATTTTACAGAAATAGTTAAAGTTTATGAATGCAATTTCGACCAATCAGATGGCTGGATTTCTTAAGTGAGGTATATAATTCAATTTATTGACTATGAAATGAATATCAGTAATCTCTAACATTTTGACAATAGTTTGAAACTTTGTTTAATTTTTACCCCTTGTCACTTCATCATACCGGTATTCAAAATTTGTGAAGAAGAAAAAAATTACATGAAAATAACATTTCAATATTATTGTTAGGATATGTGTTTTTCTTTCAAATTTTGTATGAAGATGCATCTTGATAAAATCTACATATTTGTAGTGTTTGGTGATACTGCCACCAGTGGTCATCTATTATAGGGTCGAAGGTCATATTTTGGTGGGTGTCTAGTATGTGCTCTGCAGGTCATATTTCAAGACAGATTTCTTTCAAATTTTGCCTGTATCTTGGTACAATTTACCCATTTACACTTTTGGGCGATGCTGCCCTCATTGTTCCGTCTTTTACATGGTCAGAGGTCATATGTCTTTAATGCGCTCTAACTGCCACATTTCTTGACGGATTTCTTTCAAATGTTGTATGGAAGTGTGTCTTAATAGTACGATCTACACATTTTTAGTGTTTGGTGATGCTGCCACCTGTGTTCTGTCTGATATAGGGTCAAAGGTCATATTGTGGTGGCTGTCAATGTTTCTTGACTACAATTGCACAATTTGCTATTCCTGTTTGGAAATTATATATCAGAACTGCATTTTCTGAGATTTTCATGGTCGCAGCTACAAAAATGTACCATGAAATGGCCTCGTGCGCTATTTGAAATATTTGAAATTTACCAGGAGCACCAGTAAATTTTTAATAATACAATTCTCTAAAGCAGAAGAGTTTTAGGTGCTAATTTTTTTAGTGCTCATACAAGTAATACATCCACAGGGGCATCCAAGTACATGTATATCAGAATTTTAAAGAACTACTATCCATCCAATTTTCAAAGCTTTGCATTACATTAAAGTAATTTCTGCAATGAAGATTTGACTTTCTGTGCATGCTGTATTCAATGTATGTGCATCATGGAAGCTATCTTTATAGTTTAGTTTGGTACTTTAACTTGCATGATCTCTAAAACAGAAGATTTATTCTTATTTTGTATTTTGTTTTTAAAGGATATTAGCATGGAACTCCAAACATACAGAGCCAAAAAGTATGTCCGTGAGTGCTCCCCTTATGTCACTATGAATTAGCTGTAACAATGGAAACCTGTTTTGTTTCTCTCTCTCTACAGACAACAAACGTGAATCAGAGGAAACCCCAATGGAGCAGACAGCAGATGATTCAAGCTCCAAGACTTCTCAAGACACCCCTGGAGGTAACGCTGAGACACTCAAATGTCAGACTTCGTCATCAGAAAGCAAGGAATCAGGGAAGGAATCAGGGATGGAATCAGGGATGGAAGCAACCAGCATGGAGCAGGAAGCTCAATGTGAAAGTAGAACTGAGAATAACTCATCAGCAGCTAGCACAGACAATAGGATGGAAGAGGAAAGTAAAGACTCATCAGCGGCGGCGAGTAGTAATGGTAGTGTTGTAGGAGCAGGAGGTGGATCAACGGTGGCCAGCGGTGCTGCAGCTAGTGCAGTAGACAAAGGTGAAATGGTAGAATTGAAGATCATGTATAACAAGAAGAAATATGATGTGAGGGTCGGTGTGGAGTCGACCGTGGCGGAGCTCAAGACAGAAATTCAGACAACAACAGGTCAGTTTATTTCTTACTTTTGTGTAGATCTATTATTAAGAAAGTCTTTATTCTTTCCTTTCTTAAAGGTATAGACCAGTTTTGGAAACACCCCCTGTAAAAAAATGAAATGGAAGCTCTTATTACCAATCATGTGAAAGAATATGTTTTGACTATTACGTCATGATCACAAATTTTGCCGGGAAACCGCCTACTAATTTATATTTTGGGTACATTATTATATTGATCCGGCCTGGATAGATATCGCGAATGCACTTCATTGTACATTTGGGCATATATTTCTGCTTTTTTGCAAATTTAGGTTGAAGTATAACATTGCACCCAAAACCCTTGAACCGCAATTTTACCACTACCAGTCTTTACCTTTAACCAGCAACATGTACTTTCATTGTGATGTTTATTCAATGGATGTTGTATGCCCAATCTAACGATGAAACGAGGTTATTTCTCTTGCATCGGAAATGTTGATGAAACGTTGAAACCTCACACTACATTGATGATTCTGATTGGTTCAAAGTTCAATGTTATTCAAGATTTAAAGGGAAATCCAACCCTAATAGGTTCCAGTCTGAAAGAAAGCAAAAAAATCACAGTAGAAGACTGAGGAAAATGTGAATGAAATCAGACAATAAAATTGAAATTTATGAATTTAAAAAAGTTGTAATCACTATAGGACCAGGCCCCCGATTCCCCCAAAATTGTCCTAGGGGATTTCAACCATTGTCGGCTGGAGGACACTATGCCCCATTATCACCAGCATATCGATAGACCTACACGAGGTGGAAACATTCTAGACCGTTGTTATAGCTCAATAGAAAACGCATACAAAGCTATTACACGACCACCACTTGGACGTTCCGATCACAATGTGATCCACCTCTTGCCAAAGTACAAACAAAAGCTAAAACGAGAAAAAACGGTAAAAAAGACCATCCGTGTTTGGAATGTTAAGTCAACTGAAGACTTGCAGACAGCCTTTGACATCACAGACTGGGAATTGTTCTTTGGTTCTTGTGAGAACATTGATAAGATCACAGACACAATTAATAGTTAAACATTGATGATCCAAAACAAAAAGCTGATCAATTAAATGTTTTCTATTGCCGATTTGACAAACACGACTTTCATGATACTATCAAGGAGCAGGAAGTATTGCTCCGATCAATGAATGACCAGCCGATCTCGATCGACGAGCAAGAGGTACGAAGGCAGTTCAAAGCGGTGAACCCCCAAAAGGCTAACGGCCCAGATGGCATTAGAGGTCGAGTGTTGAAAACGTGCGCCAGCCAACTGGCTACCCCGTATACGGCGCTTTTCCAGATGTCCGTTGACCAATGCAAAATCCCGGCATGCTGGAAATCATCCGTCATCACTCCAGTAGCCAAGAAACCCCGCCCTACAGAAGACAACGACTTTCGACCAATAGCGTTAACGTCGATTGTCATGAAATGCCTTGAGAGAATTGTCTTGAGAAATCTCATTGGACCGATTCGCTCTAGTATTGACCCCCTTCAATTTGCATATCAACCGCAGAGATGTGCGAATGATGCCGTTCTTTCTTTTGTGCACACGCTACAAGAACATTTGGACACACCGAGACGTTACGCAAGGGCATTGTTCGTTGACTTTTCATCAGCCTTCAACACGATACAACCGCACCGTCTTATAGAGAAGCTGTTGCATCTGAAAGTGAAACCGTCTCTTATTTTGTGGATAACGGACTTTCTCCTCACGAGAAGCCAGAGAGTGAGAGTAAACAACATTTTGTCCGAACCACTGCACACCAACACTGGATCACCCCAGGGCTGTGTACTTTCCCCGATTATTTTCATTCTATATACTAATGACTGTCTATCCCATTTTAACAATGTTCATACTTTCAAGTATGCAGACGATACTGCCATATTAGGGCTGATTAAATATGATGAAAAGGATTACAGAGACTGTGTAGATAACTTCAACTCATGGTGTGTGGAAAACTATCTAGAACTGAATGTGCAGAAAACCAAAGAGATCCTGTTTGATTTTAGAATCAAAGTAGAAAGCAAACCAAGTGACCACCCTGTAAGCATTAAAGGGCAAGATATTGAAATTGTTACTTCATACAAATATTTGGGTATAAACATTGATAATGAACTGGTCTGGAATGGGCATACAAAAGCCCTCGCAACAAAAGGGAGCCAGCGAATGCACTTTCTGCGAAAGCTGCGTTCATACCATGTTGATAGGACCATACTGTCACTTTTTTATCGGTCCGTAGTTGAAAGTATAATGACCTATGATTCTGTAGTGTGGTACAACAGTGCTAGAAAGAAAGACCAAGGAAAACTCAAAACCATTGTCAAACAAGCAGCCAAAATAATAGATAGACCAATGGACCTTGATGATGTTTGCAGAAACAGAGCAGTGGAAACGGCTGTCAAGTTGTCAAGGGATTCAAGTCACCCCCTGAATGGAAATTATGTCAGGTTAAGAAATGGTAAAAGGTGGCAATCAAAGAAATCCCGCACTTCGAGGTACCTGAACTCTTATGTCCCGTATTCTATCCGTCTGCTGAATGAAATATAAAATGTAAAAATGTATCACCCGTATCTTATTTTGTTCTATTTGATTGTAGGAAATGATCAAAATTTCATTTGTATTTATTCTAGGACAAGTATATTTAACTACTTACAATAGCCATCTTTTCTCAAATTAAATGAAAAAGTTTCTTTTTCTATTTATACTCACATGTCGTAATATATTGCATGTTTACTAATAATTATCTCATACTGCCTCCAATAGGTATTCATATCTCATACATACTGCATTGAGTGCACTCATATTTTAGGTTTTATTTATAGGGACAATAATTGTTGTGGATCTATCAGAATATCAGGATATATACATGGTTATTTTTACTTGTTTCCACCATATAGACATTATGATAAATCTGTTTTATTGTTAAACTGTTTGTGTTTTATATGTGCCTTGTTATATTTTGTTATCATAATGATATAATGAGTCAAACTAATGATTATAATAACAATTCAAACAATAATAATAATAATAATAGTATTAGTAATATTGATAATGATAATAGTAATAATAGTTACAATGTTATATTGTTCTGGTAATTACTCTGGATACATAAACAAATATTGAATATAATGTAAATTCAAAGAAAATATCTATATAATGTGAATGTTAAAGTGCTATATGTTCACTCTCTCTATATACTCGTTGTATGTTGTATGTATCATGTTACATGTACATTTTATTTATTCTTCTATGTGAACAATGCATGTAAACGAAACGAATTTCCTTTTGGACCAATAAATTTGAATTGAATTGAATTGAATTGAGTATACATTATGTAAAATCACTTCAAATTGGCTGAAACGGTATTGTCACTGTGCCGGACAACTTTCCAATTTGTTTTAACACCCAAAGTGACTAAAATGTATGACTCAAGATCGTCTTTTATTTTTAGAGGGCCTATAATAATATACTATCCATTTCTAGTACTACCCCAAAGGAGAAGACACTTACGAGAAAAACAGAAATTAGTGATATTTTTGTACACAACAAATGGGAGAGTTGTCCGTGACTATGTCACAATCCACTTACCGAATTCCCAATCTGAACTTAGCAAAGTGATCAATCTCAAATTAAAAAAATACATAAATAGTTATTATTGGTCTGATATATTTAAAACTATTTTGTTTCTATAATTTGTTATACTCTCATGCAAATGAACTTATTAAAAAGGTTGGATTGTATTTAAAAGTGGCATTATGCTAGAGATGACAGGATGGTTTGTGTACAATGTGGATTGGTTTGCCCATCATCCCCTCCCTTCCCAAGCTTTTGTGCAAAAGATCTGATCTGATCACAATTTGGTTTGGAGTAGTCCATAATGGTACCTGTAAAGCGGCCTTATCTCATATAACCAGATTATCAATTTAAAAAAAAAAGTTAATGTACCAGTAATATCCTTTTTACCAGCTTGTAAATGCTTTCTTTACAAACTCCTATTTTATGTTCAGTAGAGTTTTATGAATACTTTTTTGAAAGCAAAGTTTGTGTCATTGTAATAAACTGAGCTAAAATTTCATGAATTAATCCAAAGTGAATTGGATGTATTTGGTTGTCTGATATATATATCACAATTCTGTAATTTGTTTGTCTTGATTGATTTCCAAGGTTATGCAGAGTGCATGGGAAACAAGAATTAGCATTGTTTTAGGCCAAATTTGAAAAGGAAATGGAAAACAGTCTCAGGTTATTTGACACAATGAGTGTGGAAAATGATGATTCAGTGCCATTGTTTTTGTCTCGCCTGCGTAGCAAAAATGTGAGACATAGGCGCCGCTTTTCCGGCGACGGCGGCGACGGCTACGGCGGCGACGGCAACGGCGTCAACATCAAAAACTTAACCTAAGGTTAAGTTTTTGAATTTTTTATATAATTTCGAAAGTATAAGTTCTTAGTCAATGAAACTTGGACTATAGGGTTATCAAGTATCCCCAATCATGTGAGTAGTATTTCAGGTCACTAAGTTAAGGTCAAAGGTCATTTTAGGTCAACAAACTTAGACTTTGTTGTGGCATCAACATCAAGATTTTGAATTTGTTAGCATATTTTCAAAATTGATTGTTCAAATTCCATGAAACTTGTACCCAAGGGTTATCAAGTATCACAAATCATATGACACAAATTCCAGGTCACAAGGTCAAAGGTCAGCAGACACAACTTAATATGAGAATTAATAATTTTTTCTATTAATTTGTTCATATTTCATTCAAGTTATCGATCGTGGTACATTTAATAGTAAATAATTCTTCTGATGATTCTTAGTCAATATTCACTTCAAAATGTGATTATATTTAAAGGATTTCATTTTTGGGGGCCTGCTAATAGGATACACTCCCTACTATGAATAATGTTCCAACCTCAATTTTTCATCATATCGAATTGCGTAATGCAGGCGAGACCGCCGAGAGCGTTTCTCTTGTTTATTAGACATGGGACTATTGAATGTCACATGATCTAACTACAAATGATCTGACTATGCCAGACGTGGTATGAGATTCCCCTGAAGACTTGACAGGAAAAGCTCATGTACAGTGTATGTGTGTCATTGTCTACTTCTGTTTGTTTTATAAGCAACTCATCCATGCCATCCATGACTGTTGCTGCTTTCCCCCCAAACTTAGTCTTATTTCCAATATTGCCCATGTTATACCTGCTTCACAAGAACCAATATTATTCTGTAAAATTGAATATTTTTAGGTGGGCTGTATCTAATACAGACCACCTTATAATTTTGTTAAAATTGCCTTTATTATTATTATTATTATTTATTATTTATTTTTCTTATTTCGACCCACTTTTTTGTGTTCAAGATAATTTGAAAATGGTTCAATCAAATACCTTGAAATTTGACACACATATGTATAGGCATATGAACAAAACACAGCAAACTTTTCAACCTTGACCTTGACTGATGACGTCATCTAGGCGCCATTTTGTGAAATTTTCTGAAAAATTACTCATGATCATATTTTCATAACGGTACGTCATTTCTCATTCATATTTATCATGATTAAGGTCAATATCAGTCCAGTCAAATTCAGGTAAAAAAACGCGCGCGTGCGCGTACGTCCGCGCGTCAATGCGCGCGCAACATTTCAAAATGCTCAAAATCGTCTCAAATTTATTTTGTATACGTTTCAGGTCATTTTAAGCATTTTATAAAAAATCGCGCGTACGAGCATGCGCGCGCGTTTTCGCGCGTTACACCATTACACAACATAGAATCGCCATTTTTTTTTTCTTTCATGATATTTCTCATATGATTTCAAGGAATTTGATACCATGTTTATTTCTTTATGGCCATAAATAACAAGATGAACGTTAATTCAAGATAAATGTCCGTGCGCGCGAGCTCTTTTATTACATAGCATATATGGGCAAAAACATGCCTATACAAAATCCATTATAGCTCTTTGGAATGAACCGTGACCTTCAATGTTTTTTCATATTTAGATAGAGTATGAGTCGGAGATATGATTTCATGTCTCATTTGGCCATTAAGTGTATCGTGACATCATCACAATGGCCTTGGAACTCAAAATACGAATTTGCATATTATGACGTCAGCATATTTATGGAAAATTGATTGTATCTCTGTAAATATTGATCAATTTTCTTCAAAATTTCGATATGTTGTAGCTAAGACAATTTTCTACAATATTTAAAATAACCATTTTTCATTTTGATGACGTCATTATAGTGAAAATCTTGATTAAAGGCCTCATGTCAAAAGGCCTTCATAATTTGCCTTATCCCTATAGAAGGTGAATTTCGTTCACGTCATGAAACTACATGATATTGTTTTTTAAGAATTTTTAAGCAGTATCTCGCTTATTTTTGCTCTATTTTGTCTCAAATTTAAGTTGACCAGCCCACCTATACTTGTTCCAAACAAGTATTATATGTCTAGTTCTATCTGTGTTTATGATCAGGCGTTCCACCTGCTATGCAGAAATTAATGTTCAAAGGTCTGATGAAAGATGAGAAGACACTGAAGGAACTGAAGGTTACCAGTGGATCTAAACTCATGCTGATTGGATCTACAGCTAAAGCTGTGATGGAGGTCACAAAGCCTGTACCTGCTGGTGGAATAGTCGAGAAAGATGAGAAAGGTAGGATCAAATCATGCTTTTAATCCGTTGAATACCAAACGTATTCACTCCCATAGGCTTAATGCAGTGACCACCTGCTTCCCGTAGACAAAGCGTTTAGCGTTATATGAATGAAGAATTGACAGAGCTCTACATTTTTAATGTGTTTATTTCCATTTTAGAGGATGTTAAAAGTACTTCAATAACCCTGGCTTTTATAACGGTGCTCTAAGGTTTTGAAAGCATTCAGGGAATTTCTTTATATCAGGTACACAATACTTCACCTGGGTTGAGAGCGGAAAATATAGATTGATGTCTTGCCGGGGTACGTTGGTGCTGAGGGAGGGACTTACATTGTGGTGTTGACCATTTGAATCCAGATGGTTACCACATTTCTACAGACAAGACAGATCAAAGAGTTTACTGTAATTATGTGGATCTTCAAGGGTTTTGGCTGCACTGCTGCCTAGTGACTGACCATTACTTTGTACAAGCTTTACAACATGGGTTATTAGTTATTTCAATACTTGGAGGCATAGAATCACAGATCTCTTTAAGGTGTTTTGAACCTAAATCTTGATTTACATCACCTATTTACAGGAAACCCAAACAGGAAAAATTATTTTTAAAAATAAATAATTGAAATGCAGGTAAAAATGTGAAACCTACCGGTAACCCTTTTGTTCACCTTTATTTTTCAAAAACAAAGAACAAAATCTGTGTCAGCCTGAACTTTTTAGTTAATTTGGCTTCCCAAAGCATCTCCTCATCTTTTTTTTAAGGCCTTGGTTTGAATTTTCGGCTTAGACAACTTTCATTAAATTGGGTGAAAGAATTACAGACTGACTACAGAGCAAATACATAGGAAATGTTTTTATAGCATACTGCCTGCATTAATATATCATCCCTTTTCTTTTACTCTGCAGCAAGTGCCGCCAAGGAGCCCCTAAGTAAACTTAAGATGCATAAAAAGATCATTGATAAAGGCAAACCAGATGATGCTATGATTGGCATCAAGAACCAACATGTAAGTATTGACTAGAGGAATGGTAACCTTGGTGCATACAAATGTCAAGCAATTCTTATTTTAATAACTTTTTCTTGTTTAAGAGACCTCCTTTTTCTTTGCTTAGGTGAAATGAGATTTTCTTGGAACAATTTTCATATTTCTTTGCTTGCTATTTTAATTTCATCTCTGTTTCATCAGAGCTCTTTGGTACCATGTATCTATCTAGGGCTCTTTTGACATTTTCCACAGTTAAATGGATCAATGATCAGTCACATAAACTTTTCAAGCCAGATTGCATTTGTTTAAAGCCCCACTGCACTACTTATAGCTACATGTACCTGCGCCCTCTATATAGCAAACAATGCCTAATCGGTGCCTTTTGGTCCCTCATGATCACATTTTTCTTAAGTTAATTGAGAGCTGATTTGATGAGATAACCACCTGTCAGTGACCTCGCAGGGAGGTCTAATCCTCCCTGGCCAAACTAGTACAGACGGCCTTTAATATATCAAATAGACTTTGATTCTATCCCTGTCCTCTTGTCTTCATCTGCTATCTCTAGTTCTGATGTAACTCAGTTTTTCAAGTGATATTGTATCTAAGTCTTGCTGAAGGATTGATCAACTGGTGAATAAAGAGCCTTAATAAACCTGCTTCAGCAATCACCTCTATATTACAACCACAGACTTTGTCAATAGTTAAATGGCAACAATCGCCTCGAGCTGTGATCAACTAGCATATTTTAGATACACATGCCATATTTCATACAACTGTTATCAGAATAATAACATAGACAAGACTGATTAAAACTTTATCCATATGAGACGAGTGAGTAGTGATGATGAATTTGAACTGTCTTGATCTTTCAGGAACCGCTTCCAAATGTTCCAATATCTGGCATGCTGAACAAAGCTGGAGGAAAGGTTCGACTCACTTTCAAATTAGAATTGGATCAAGTGTGGATCGGTACAAAAGGTAATATTATTTTCTTCTAGAAAGATGTCAGATTGTTATCACTCAAGACTCTGTTCTGTTCATTTTCAGAATAGTATTTTGCTGATTTAGTATTTACCATTGGAGGAGGTTTGGGGGAAAAGATCAAATGATCTATATTAACAACTGAATTATTCATACCCTCACCAAGTTAAGTATTTTGTTTATGTATGTGAATAAATTTAATTTGACCCAATTTATAGTAGTCATATTATACCTCATTGGCTCCGGAGTCAGGCCACGGAAAAGACACGTAGTCTTGTCAGGCTACACTCCCTTTAAGGTTTAAGTGTACACTGTTTCTCTCTTTATGAACTGAAACTCATACATCTACATCAAAAAACAGAATGAAGGTATTCATAGAACTTGTTATCAATAACAATTCATAATAACTCCTATAAGCTCCTGAATTCTATGAAGTTGATTGGCAGAGGGCAAAGTTGGCTTTTTTTATTGATGAGAATAATAGGGTCCAAGCCGATTATTAAACACTCTCCATCCTGAAATTTACCCAGTACTATACAGTATGTTATGTAGCATTGACTATTTTCTTAATGGTTTGAGTCTCAGAGAAGATATTAGAACTTTTCAGGATTCAAATATGCATTTGGAGAAGTATGAGCTCAAATTTTATGATTTCTATTACAGAATGTGAAATATTTGCATGTTGTCATTTATCAATTGAAAGATACTAATCCAGTTTCATTAAAGTATTCTTCATTATCATTACCCCTCTTTCATGTGGTATCAGCTTTATGAAGGTTACAGTACTTGGTTTGGATTTGGTAGAACTCCTTTGTAAAATGTCATGAGATTGATAAAAAAGAGCCATGTATGTTTTATTTTTTTCAAACAGAGAGAACAGAAAAGATCAACATGAATTCCATCAAGAATGTTCTCAGCGAACCCATTGAGGGGCATGAAGACTATCACATCTTGGTAAGTACTGTAGTATCCCTATGATTAGCTTGTCCTTCATTTTCTTTCCTTTTCTTTTTTAAATTGACAAGAACCTGAAAAGAAATTATCACATCTATTTCCCAGTTAGTAAACATGTTATCAGTAATACCTTGAAGAGATCAAGCCTTGTACCTCAGCATTTTCTTCAGAATGAACCCTATCGTGTCAAACCCTCCTTTTGATGTTTGCTTGAGATTAAAGGGTACCTGGTGGAAAGCTTCTCAAACATTTCAGCACCTGGAATGGCATTTTGGATAAAACCAGGGCAGGGGCAATTCAGTATTTCTATTATTTTTTATTTTAGTACATATCCCTGAAATGTCAATATCAGAGCCAGAAGGGCATTAACCCTAAGTAAAATAATTAGGAGTTAATGCCCTTCAATGCTCTCAGCAGATGCTACGTTCGTCAGTCAAATTAACAGGGCATGGTTGATTACAATGAACCTACCGGTAATTGACTCTCTTTATTATCTTTGTGTTCTGTTTACAGGCCATCCAGCTTGGTCCAACGGAAGCTTCCAGGTATTGGATCTACTGGGTTCCTGCACAATATGCAAAGGGAATTAAAGACACGGTTCTAGGAAAATGGGTGTACTTTTGATCCAACCTGTAACATCAACTCTACATGATTATGAAAGTGAAGAGAATTCCATCCTGAACTTTTTACACGGATGGACAAAGGAAGGATTGCGATTGTCTGATGATAATCTTGAATCAAACATTTGTGCAAGGCTTCCATGTTGCTCCTATCGCTGAGATGAATGAAGCTGTAGATGCCTGAATTCAGCAGCTGCCTGTTCTTCATAGACTGTACAAAAATAATCAGAGAAGCATGTAATGTAGCTAAACCAGTCATTATCTGTCACAAAAGTGTAACGGTACATACATGTTATGGGCTTGCAATAAGAAGTTTACATGCTGAGTGACTAAAATGTATTCAGTCCATGGACTGTCTCAATGTTTGACCCATTTTGCTAAGGTCTCACAAATGATAGGTGTTGACCCCGTCCCCACTATCTGATAACACTAATAGCTATTAACCTGCATAATCATACAACCAAAGTTATGTACAGGATGAATGGGAACATAGGTATTGAATAGGACTGGTGTTGTTTTTACTTAATTCATTCTTTCATTTCTATTTTTTTAGGCGGGCAGTATTTTGTGAACACACATATTGGATTAAATACCCAAATTACACACAAATGCCCTTTTTTAAATAGAAAGGGACCAGGGCTAATAGTATATGTACATTTTCAAGTATATTAAAGAACCAGCTCCTTTAAAGAACCATCTCTCCTGAACTAAATCCTTGTTATGTGTCACTCTTTCAAGAAGGTAATCTAAGAATTAAAAGGGTGATGACTACCTTAGGTGGTCTCAAATCTCATTATTTATTTTTTTTATTTTTAGATATATAAATCTAATTCAAGCACTTTGAAATAAATATTTCTTTGTGATGATAAAAAACTGTCCAAAAGCTTGTGTGCATGTATGAAATGAGCAATTTGCATGTCAGTTTCAACCCTCATCTACTTAACAATATACATTGTATGGGAACCTTCTGAAAATGGAATGTTATACCAATCATTTTTTATATGCTCAAAGATGTTGCATAAGCATGCCTTATATCTCAACAACTAACAGCAGTTTGTACTTTTCATCACTTAGGTAACCAGGTGTGAAGGGCTTTGAAATGGTTAACAATGGACAAAGCAATCTCATGTATTGTTCTTATCTAGGACGAAAAGTGCCCACTTGACCACGGAGGGAGTATAACTCTATGGCAATAAGAATGTATGGATCATAGCATGGTTAAGGGCTAGTAAGGCATAGAGACTTGGAGAGAAAAGAATGCATTGAAAAGAAGAAGACTCTCTCATCCCAGTAAACAATGATTGAAAGGAAGAAGAAATCTATTAATCCCAGGAGGTAAAAGAGTGGTTATTCTGGAGAGAAAAGAATGCTGTGAATAGAGGGATCTATAATCTGATGAAATAAAGTGACTACCGGTAGTTTAATAATCAAGAAGTATCCTAAGAGAAAACATTGTATTGATGAGAAGAATCTCTAATCTGGGTGTGTAAAATGGTTAAGATTAGTTCTTTAAGATTTATCTGGAGTAAAGATTGCTTTACAAAGGAGAATCTGTAATCCCAGGATGTTGAAGGACTGATTTATCATATTTTAAATCCTGGAGAGAAAAACTACTATGAAAAAGATCTCAGAGGGTGTAAAAGGGGTGATAATCCAAGAAATCTCTAGAGAGAAAAAATGCCTTGATAACAACAATAGTGGCCAATCTCTCTTTTGTTAAGTACAAATGTATAGGCGTGACCATTACATTATTGTAAGAAGGTAAATATGGTCATGGAACAAGAACAGGGTGATTGAAATATTTAATCTCATATGTCTGAAATATGGTTAACAATTAGTTAAAAGTGCATTTATTCCTACGGTTTTTCATGTAAAAATGATACAGAAGTGAAAATACAAAGCTTGACCAGTACATGCACTACTGGATTTCTTTCATGTTTCATTTTACCGTCCCAGGAAAATAATCACGGTTCAGAGGAAAGCTCAGCATGCCTCATTAGTAGCTTGAACAGAAACAATTCATATTCATGTACAGTATATGTATCTATAGAGATATATTATGGAATGGAAGCTGTTCTCTTTTACATTTATTCTCAAAAACAATCAAGTTTAGCAGATGCAGTTTCCATGTACTCTAAAGTATGTCTGTTTTCTAAACTAACTTTTCACCCTTGAAAATCCAATTCATCAGTGAGGCTGGCATCTCCCTAAAATTGCAAATTTGCTTACGTTAAATTCTGAATTTGAAAACAAAATCATGCTGTCTGAAAGTACTGTAACCATGGAATAAATGTTAATTTACTCCAGTTAATAGTCCTTTGGAAATGTCAAATAAAAAACGCATCTAATCAGACTATGAATATGTATGATCTAGTGATCTTGAATAGGATGGAAAATCTGGAACTGAATACAGATCGAGGCATGACATAGAACCATTCCTTCATCCATCCAACTATTATCTGCTTATATAGTGGTCTAGTGGATAATATTCTCTTAGATAAGTCAATGGACTGTAGATTCGGTTCATATCCCAGCCTGGCACTAACATCCTTTGACAAGATGTTATTCCACAATTGCCACTCTCCACACAGTTGTCTATGAGTACCTGATACTTGAACGCTATAGTTACCAATAATTTTGTTTTCCAGCTATAGCCAGGGTAATAACGTCTAAGTGCCATGGTTTTTACTTCATTAGGGATATGAGGGATATATAAGTTAATAATTCTATTGTTTCTCACATTTACTTTTGGAGTAGTACCTGCTAAAATACCCTCAGAAATTTACATTAAATATACCAGTATTGAGAAATGAAATAAAATGTGTAGGTATTGGATTTTTAATGCACCATGATTATGCTATCATTGAAAATTATTTGAATTTTCATTTATGAAGTAGATGATGGTAACAGATGACAAGTTAGATTATCTCCTTTAATTTGGCAAACATAAATTTTGTGTGGAATACATTAAATGGTCACTCCTTTCTTCTTCAAGTTTAAAATTCATTTAAATTAATGTTTAACTTCAAACAATGAACTTTGTTATTCATTTAGAGGATGTAGTCTTCACTAAGTATTACAAAAAATCAAATACTTGACATTCTTTGTTCCTTTGTTTAAAAGTGACATGTATGAAATGTTTTCTTAGATCACACCTTTTCAGAATGAGATATGATGAGTACATCACGTTTAATTTGGAAAGGGCATTTGTTAACTGATTACCTTGCATATTCCATCTAGAATGTCCCAAACATTAATGGAAACATTAATTTTATTCTGTACGACTAGATTACATGTCGATCACGTCTCCATTATCCTTATTGGAACCGATTCATTATGGAACTATGTCAAGGATTAATAGAGCGAAAGCTCAATAACCTTTCAAGAAACAGTATTGAAGGATCATTTTTCAAACAGAGTCGTTTGTGAATTGTGATGTATGAAATGCCTGATGTAGATTGGGTGACCCTACATTTGCTCCTGCAACAATTAATTGATTCAGTCTTTATTTTGTCAAAGGTATAGGCTTAGTATTGTGATTGTGTATTAGGCTGGGTTTAGGGTTAGGGTTAATCTTGGGTATAGTGAATGGGTCAAGGGGTAATAGTTAAAGGGTGTGGTACTTAAAATTCATGTTCTACATAATGTAATCTCTAATTGTCACAACATGTCAAACATGCTTTTCATAAACCAAAAATAATATGCTTTATTTTGGGTTAAGATAGAAAACATTAGAGGTACTGAATATAAAGTAGGTTTTGCTCAAAAGTATAGTCAGGCATGGATTTAGTCTCAGTTTTCAATATTATCTTTGAATGCTATTTTTGTTCTCATATTGTGTTTTTTATAATTTCTTTCTTTGTTTTTGTTTTATTGGGCCATTTTCCATGTGTGTCACAAATTACAACTTTAACAAATTAAATATAATATTCATGTTCATCGTGAGTTTGAATATTTCTGTTTATATCCTTTATGATTTTCTCTGTCAACCTTACATTGACCCATCTCCCTGCATTGACGCACTCTAAACAGTTTTATCGTGAAGCGTTGTATGCAATATTACAATTTTGAGAAATTCGATGGAATCATATAGTTGGAAGAAATCGTTGATTGATTCATATAATGTGTTGTGGCTTACTGTATTTCCTCAAAATGTTGCTTAATATAATTATATTCATGTTATCAGAACTCATGAGGTTTATCTATTACTTTGAATGATCTCTGAGTCTGAAGATTTTTTTATTACATTATTAAAGGGCATGTCATTTGATTTCTTTGAAGTGTGGCACTTATATAGAGAGATTGGAGGAGACATTTTAAGGAGAGAGAGAGAACTGAAGGATATTACAGATGCAAAGAAGGAACTGTGATAATTAGGGGGGAAATAGTGATTGTGATTGCGTGTATGTGTGATCAGAGAGAGAGAGAGAGAGAGGGGGGGGGGGTGTATGTGTGTGTGTGTTTTTTGGGGCGGGGGGGGGGGGGGCGGTGGAATGGTGTGATATATAATTAAGGTGCAGAGCACAGGTTTATGGAGCGAGATTATGTGGGAATATTAAAGATAGAAGCCAAGGAACGAGAGCGTGATAAAGAGAGAGGTAGAGCAAGAGAAAACTGAGGATAAAAGAGAAGAGGCATGAATTTATTTTTAAAAAAAAAATGAAATGTAGAAATTAGGGGGCGATGTGAGGCCGGTGATATGGCCAGGTAACATTCTTTAATTTTCTCCTAATTATAATTACATATTATTTATCGATAATAATTAATGGAAATGCACTTCAGTTCAGTGAAAACAAAAGAAACATTATGATAGAAGGCCATATAGAAAGGAAGAATAGAAAAGGAAAATTAAGAAAAGAAAACGTGAGAAGGATAGAGAAAACAAAAAGGAAATTACAGAAAAGGACAATTCAGGAAAGGAAATTAAGGAGCGGGTCGAGAGAAACGATTCTTTTCTTTTTTGGCTATGAAAATATAATTATATTATAAAAAAAAAAAATGCGCGCAACAGTTAAAAGAAACGATTTAAAAAAGGAAATAAAATAATATATGGCGGTTATAGTAGCTGTTGCCTGTTTGGGTTTTTTGAGGCCGGACATACTTTTTGTGCATTGTGAGGCATGCTAAAAATCCCTGATTATACAGGCCTATTTGCAAATTGCGGTTAACACGAAGGACAAGAAGATGACAAGAACACAAGAAGAAGATATGCCTCAATGGATGCGGCTATTCCCGCTATTTTGTCACATGACACTCTCCGTACGTACGTACGTACGCGCGCGTCAAAGATACTATAGTACTTGACCTCACGCACGCATTGTAGTGTATAACGCGTTGTTGGAACTTAACTGTGCATAATCAAGAATCCTGTACGCCATTCGCTAGCGGAAAAGCGGACCAAATCCATGAAATCTAACACGATCCGGCTTTTTTGGTATTAATTAACAAACAATCTACAATCTCAAAATGTCGTATGGACGAATAGCACCAGACATTGAAGGGATGACTTCCCTGAAAGTGGACAATTTGACATATAGCACGACACCTGAAGACCTACGACGCTGCTTCGAAAAATATGGCGAAGTTGGGGACATTTACATTCCACGCGATAAATTCTCAAGAGAGAGCAGAGGGTTTGCTTTTGTCCGATATCCGGACAAGAGGGACGCTGAAGATGCAATGGATTCTATGGACGGTAACCTATATGATGGTCGGAAATTGAGGGTCCAGATGGCAAGATATGGCCGACCACAAGAATCCCGAGGAAGCCGATACGGAGGAGGAGGAAGCCGATACGGAGGTGGTGGACGACGCGACCAGTACCAGGGTGGCTACGGTGGTGGTGGTGGTGGGAGATACGGTGGTGGAGGAGGTGGCAGCAGAAGAAGGTGATGACGCGTAATATTATGACGATGGTGTTGCCTGTACTATTCTAGTGTTGTATGAATGAAGGGAAGCCCGATGTATTATGCACCTACTGACCTAGATTCTAATTTAGACCTAGACTATGTAGGCCTAGACCCTATGTTGAAATTGATGTTTTTTTATTCCGATATGGGTGATATTATCTGAATTACAGAGAGTATTTCAAGAATCAAGGCATTAAAACGATAGGTTTATTGCACGAGCTACGAGTTAGTAATCACAGTTTTTCCTTTAGACTATAGGTAGAGTAAAGGAGCCCGTAATCGGCCAGCTCCCGTTTTCGGCCGATTGGTTGGATACAAGGTAAAATCACTCTAAAATACATCGCATAATAGCATAACAGATTAACACATAGATCTATCCCACACATACCATACCATGCCAGTGTCACTGAAGAACCACATTTGCAATGGAAAATATATCCTAAAATATCACATTTTAGCGATGTAATCGCCGGTCCCGCTACCCAAATCTGAAAAATCGAGTATCTTACGCGTGTCTGTAAGAAATATGGGTACCATAAAATGAGCTTTATTTCAAGTATTTTTCAGATTTAAAGCCCGATTTTGTGCTAGTCGCAAGCTCAAAAGTATGTCATCGCATGTATTAAATCAATGCAGCCCATAGAGATATATACTTAATAAGGCTAGAGTGCGGACTCGTCATACGCGCCCGTTCAAAGCTCTGTGCGCGCATGGAGCGCGGTCCGCCATTACTAAGGAGGGCACAACTTCGAGAAATACCCGGATGTTCCCTTCGAAACTGTGCTACTGATATGCAATGTGAAGCTTCATTTTTCGGGTTGATTTATCGGTTTTCGAGTATGAAACGTTATAATTGTGGTATTTTGCATAATGCATGAACCCTACTCATGCCTCAGTCATGGTATCTGGTGTAGGTCAAGATTAATTACGGATGTTATGGTGAGGTAAAAGGGACAAAAAGCTATTTATATTTCAGTATATCTTCAATTTTTCTTCCTCTTTGTCAATATAAAACTGCGATATTATGACATTAAATATTACTTGGCTTTCAACCAATCAGAATCAAGCATTTGGGACTTGTATTTGATATTTATGTCATGATATTAAACAAAGTTTTATGCTACAGGGCCAATGCCGGGGGCCAATGTCTTTCTAATTCAGTTATTATGAGAGCCAGGGTTTATTGATTTAAAATGCTTTAAAGGTAATATATTCATTTTATGTTTATGACTATTATAAACAGATTGATACTTATAGATTTGGGATAGAGATGGGTATGTAGATAGCTAGACACATAAATAGATGGATAGATAGATATAATATAGAAGGATAGGTAGATAATGGAAATGCAGATAAAGGACGATACTGAAGATAGGAAGAGGGGGAAGGAAAGAATTATAGGCCTACACATTTATTTTAAAAAATTATGTTATTTACTCATCCAATCATTCATCCATCCATCCAAACATTCTTTTTCTTCTTCTCTCACTCATTTTATATCAAATTCACACCTTATGTCTTTCACCCATTCTCTATAAAATCTCTATTTTTGTCTGAAAGAGTAATTCAATTTTTTACAGTTCACTATAAATATATATGAATATTCTTTAAAAACAGCTGATCATTGATGTAATAATTATTTATTCACACCACTTTTTTTCTCCATAAATAATATTCTCCTTGATACAGTGTATTTCTTATTTTCTTCATCAACCAGTTTTAGAGAATAAACTTATAATTAAATTTGAAGAAAAAAATGAATAAATGAACCTTTTATTACCACACGGCACACGTGTGTTGATATTCTACAGCATAGGCATTTAAGTTTTGACATTTTATCGGACATATATACTGCAATAATACATCACAATTGAAAAGACAAACATTGCAAAAACAACACCTCAGATTTTAGCCCCAAATTTACTGTCACGGATCATAGGCAACACAACCACAACAAATTGATTCGCCACCAAAGACAAGCATTACACATCCCAAAACCACCACAATAACTCCCAAAACATAAATGTCAGGAGGCCAATGTCTATGTGTCAAGATGTCAGCTATAACGAACACTTTATTAACTAGTCTTGGCTCCAAGCGCACGCAGGCGCGTCACATTTACAAATAATACATCGAGTAATAAATGCAAACCAGAAATAGTAATTGAACATATATATTCCAAGTCACCTGTATTGCTATGAAGAACTATAATTGAAGAGACTTACATCTCAGGATACTGCACTACACTATTCAGTGAAACCTCATAGTAACATGGTCTTTTGACATCATTATTCATCAGGTGTAATAATAAATTTGAAACTGATTACCCTCAAATGTACACAGTAGATACAACAAGCCAAAGAGTGCACAATCTTATGGGTTTACATCTAGTGACATTATTCCATATAATTTTTCTGTTATCAAATCTCTTCAAAAGCAGTTTTCCATTTTGGAACAAAATTCAAACCTATGTACAAAACGATCTATGGGTGTGTATATGGTGTGCATTACACAGGCTTTTCAATTGCCACACATCTGTGAATTCTTCTCGTTAATTAAAAATGGGCTCACTTGATGTGAATTTCTTGCTTTTCATCTTTAATGATGTAAATCACTTGTTTGAGAGCAATCCAGACAATGTTATAGAAAAGGTCTACATGTTTATCTCAGGTTATCCATACTGTACCTGCAGAATCAAAGCACATGTAGAGTGCAAATAATTTGCAAAAATTTGTCGCTGTTTTCACGAAGTGACGGTAGTGAAAAAAAATGCATTCACTTTGCGTTACGATTTTCCTCACTACCGTCACTTCCTGAAAATAGGGACGAATTATAGCAACTGAATCAGATACAGCAGGTACAATCATGAAGCTTATAGAGTAAATATTCAAATACAGTGTACCTCACAACAACTCAAAATTCAAGTACATTTTGTTTAACCCCTAATTTAATCAACTCTTCTAAGTTCCACTTTAGTTTGCCTTCGTGTAAAGTTAACAAACAGAAAATTATGGTTAGGTTGTGCAACTGTCACAATGTGTCCCCAAAATTTTATTTCATTACACAGAACAAAAGTCTCAGATTGTTCTGTTTTTTTAAAAGATTATTGAAAGCTCTCTCCAGTTTTAAACGGCTTCACAGTCAATCATCCAGTGGATAAGCTATGCAGACAAGAGGCAAAATATAAAAGACCGATCTGTCTTTGTAGTTTGTACGAATGAAGTTCTATGTTTTGTTTTGTTTTTCCTGAAAATGCGTTCTCTCCAAAGTTGTGTTGAAGTAGGTCAAGCTGATCCTGGCTAATGAGCTTGCTTTCGTGGACTTCCTGCAAGAGAGTCCTGGTTTTTCCATCTCTCCTGTTTACCTTGTTTCACCACTTTAAGCTGTTTCTTGGCATCTTGCACTTGCTGTCTGGTTATATTCAGTTTCTAATCAACTCAGACAGAAAAAGAATAGTCATGTTCTTTTGTAATGTCATAGGGTTTCTTTGGAGGCACGGGAACACTTTTGGATGTTGTACATGGTTTTGCTGGGAGTCTTGTTTATAGGGAGGATGTCCAGGAAAGACAGTAGGCACAGCTCTAAGAATGAGATGTGGTGTGTAACATCCTTTCCTCTCTTGGGTGTATTCCTGCATTACAATAAAAGCAAATGGAAACAATAATGAGTTTTTTCTCATAACATGACAATTGTTCTACTATTCATGCTATTTCATGTGATTTTTAAGACTGAAACTGAAAGCAGCTTCCAGCCAAATAAATAAAATAATAATGATGTCAGCAAGTCATAAGCAAATTTGATAGAAATAGTGTAGTGTGCGGTGGGATTTTTAGGCTAGCCTAGCCTAGTTGGATAACTCCTGTGATGTGAAATTTGGCAGGCTAGCCTGGCTTAGACCAAAAGCTTCAGTCTCTCTATATCGTCGGTTGTTCTACTGAGACTGCGTCTGGCTCCACTAGACCTCTGATTATATTATGGGGAATGTCAACAAATGTCAGTTTTATTAAAGAAGTGACCCATATCAGATGGTTATATCTGTCTAACCTGGCTTTGCCTTTCGGGCTTTAGAAATTAGAGAGTAGAGTTTAGATCTAGAGTCTAGATCTAACTTAGACCGAATTTTCCGTCTCTTTCGTTCGTTAGCCTCTTATTGGGGTAGGGTCGGCTCTCTCTTTAGAGACGGAAGCCGTTTATACACATGTCCTTGCTCACGCCACGGCCAGTCCTGGTCGTAGCGTTTTGCCCCCAAAATCCCCCAAAATGTCATTTTACCTCGAGCATGTTATATTGTAAATTAGGCCTAGGCTATAATAAATCAGTTCCACTTACCAACTTGACTGAAATAATCAGTTTAATAGTCCCTTTTTAGGAAATTATGGGTCAAAATCGGAATCCATGTTGAAAAAGATTTTCAAAATGGATTTCGATTTTGACCCATAATTTCCTAAAAAGGGACTATTAAACTGATATTTCAGTCAAGTTGGTAAGTGGAACTGATTTATTATAGCCTAGGCCTAATTTACAATATAACATGCTCGAGGTAAAATGACATTTTGGGGGATTTTGGGGGCAAAACGCTACGACCAGGACTGGCCGTGGCGTTAGCAAGGACATGTGTATAAACGGCTTCCGTCTCTAAAGAGAGAGCCGGCCGACCCTACCCCAATAAGAGGCTAACGAACGAAAGAGACGGAAAATTCGGTCTAGATCTAACTTAGATCTAGAGTCTAGTCTAATATAGTTAAAATATAGATCTAGATCTAAAGAAGTTGACATTTGATTTTTATCTTGAAATTAGATAAGATAAAATTAATTGTATCGTTTTATTCTAGACTTTTCTTTAATAGAATCAAGCTCATGGAGTTATATTTCCGAGTTGGACTCTCTGGCTCTTGGAGTTGCGAGCGACTCCAGCGCAGCAGAATTTTCCCATCACCATCCCCAGAACCTTAACCCATGCCTGCCCCAGCCCGGCGGGCGTGGACTGGCGCGCTCCGCTGCTGCAGGAGCTGCGGTGGCTTGTCATCATGAGACAACCCGGGTACAGACTACAGTCACTGCATAAACTACATTTTTAGCTCTAAAATCTCCTTATTAATCAACATAACATTAAGAAGAACTTACTTGTGAAATATTATGCAGTTCCCTTTCTTTCTTCGGTTCGAACATCCAAATGCAACGCACGAACCTGGCTTCTCCAATTTTTTCCACGTATGTTGTGCACAGTATCTTGTTGGGTCGTTCGTTTTTCTGCCCTCCTTAGTAATGGCGGCCACAGCTCCAGGTCCACACAGCAATTTGAGCGAGTACGCCCTCTAGTGTTATTAAGTATATATCTCTATGATGCAGCCGCACACCGCGACGCACACACGATATCTCTATCTAATTCAGATTCCAACTTCCGATCACCGCTGTGCCCGTCTTCGGCCAGGCGAGCACCAGGGAGCTCCGGCGTGGGATACCTGCTCCGCCCGCTTGTGCTGTACATAAGCGCGGAAACGCACGGCGCGCGCGAGCGCTTCCTATTGACTTTGTACATGCGGCCGTAAACTGAAACGCTCGGCCGATAACGGGCTCCAAAACAGTGAAAATTGAAATGGATATTGTCATGGCAATTCGTGATTTTTTTCTGGGATTCTTTTTTTGTGTAAATAATAATAATATTTGCTTCATGATTTGAACAAGAAATGATAATAAATAGGAAGTAAAGAGTCCTAAAAATAGGATTTTGTCTTAAGTGGCCGAAAACGGGCTACTTTACTCTAGATGATGCCTACCGATAATCATTTTGCCTTGCGCGTTGACTAGAAGCTACAAGTTCGTAATAAGTTTTTTCTTCATAATCATTTTGCCTTGCGCGTAGACTAGAAGAGATGAGACGAGAGAGAACTAGGCGTTGTGGCGTGCGCCTGTAATCCAGCTAACAGTGGAAGTTACAAACTAATTCAGCCGAGAGCGCAGGTTCGAAACTGAGTCACGTCTTTTGGATGGTGACGTTAAAGGTCGGTCCCCAGACGTAAATAATCATATCTGATTGATACACGTCTGTAAAAACCCAATTACACACACATACATGTACACACACACACGAGATGAGAAGAGATGAGAACCGTGTCCGAGTTGGTCCTTGGGCGTCCTATATAGCCGATAAGCCTTTTGCTCGCCAGCCACTGAATTCTTCATCATTAAATAAAAGTTTAGCTTTTAAAAATCCAATTTATCCACATCTAGAGTCTATATATCAAAAAAAGTAAATCTAATTTTAAAGGAATAAAAATCCTGAGAGAAGAGGCGTAAATATTCACTTCTGAATGAAAAACGCCTAAAAATTAAAACAACAACAACAACGGCTGCAAGATTTTCTTCATGGATGTCGATCTTGACCCATAATTTCCTGAAAAGGGACCATTAAACGGATTCAAGTAGTCAAGTTGGTAAGTGGAGCCGAAGTAGTTGAGCATGTAGGCCTACCTAATTTAGCAGTATAAATTAAATACATCGGATATGCATCCGGTAAAATATCAAAATTAGGGATTAAGCTTGGCCAAGTTTTGTGTAACGTTTCTTTACACAAACGCGCGTCCACTACAGCGTATAGGGCTGTTCTGTCTCTAAAGAGAGAGCCGACCTTACCCAAATCAGAGGCTAACTAACGAAAGAGACAGAAAAATTCGGTCTAGACCAGGCCTAGCCCTAGACCGGATTTTCTGTCTCTTTCGTTCGTTAACCTCTTATTGGGGTAGGGTCGGCTCTCTTTTTAGAGACGGAAACCGTTTAAACGCATTCCCTTGCTAAGCCACAGCCATTTATGGCCATATTTTTATGTCCCGAAAATCCCCCAAAATGTCATTTTACCTCGTGCGTATCCAATGCATTGATTATTCAAAATTAGGCCTACGCCAAAATAAATCGGTTCCACTTACCAACATGTGACTGAAATAATCCGTGTAATGGTCCCTTTTTAGGAAATTATGGGTCAAAATCGAAATCCATGTTGAAAATCTTGCAAGACGTATTTTAATTCTCGCTGCGCATGACGTCATCTAAATCTCATCCCTTCTAGTCTACGCCGAAGGCAAAATGATTATGAAGGAAAAACTGTGTGCGAGCTACACGTTCATAATGGCGTTATCACAGTTTTTCTTCATAATCATTTTATCTGGAAAATTGTGGGTTTTGTATAGATCTGGTAAAGCCAAAAATAATAAATATATATATTCATACTTTGTGCATATGTATTTTCTTGCATATTAATTTCATTTTCAGGCTCTTTTGATGCGTCAAAGTGTGGTGTTTGAGACGGTGCCTTCCATTAATTATTAGCTCTGCTAACTGTTCCTCCTATTATTCATATTGCAGGTCAAGATCAAGGTCCCGTGGAAGATACAGGTAATGTGTTATCATAAGAAAGGGCTACATACACAAAAAGCTTATTATGATCGATCTGACTTCCTTCCTGATCGAAAATGCTTCATTTATATTGCAGTGTGTTAGTTGATTTAGCAGCTACATGCATGTACATGTATACAAGCTTTTTACTTTTGCTATCAGACTTGGATTACCATGGTTTATTGCATCATTGTTTTTTGTTGCAAAATAATGTATTTCACATTAATAGGCAAACAGCAAGAAAAGGTGTAAATGGAATTCACAATTTCTGTTGAATTCTCACGTGCCTACGGGTCACTTTCTCAAAATCATTTTACATGTCCATGTATGTCCAAGTTCATGGTGAATAAACATCCCAGTGAAGTGCATCATACTAAAATGTTAATGCCCTTTTCCAACTTGAAGATGTCCATGGACTTGTACACAAATACATGTGAGACAGTGAGATGGTTTCAAAAACTGGCCCTACAGGTACATGTACCAGTAGGTGATATTTGACACGTGAAATGAAGTGTAAATCTTTTACTTGTAAGTTTGAGGTAGTGAATTCATATTAACCTTCTTTTTCCTCTTCATTATAGGTCCCGTTCCCGATCCCCACGCAGACGCAGACGCTCGTATTCCCGCTCTCATTCCCGCAGCCGATCAAAGTCTAGGAGTCCTTCACCTCGCAGGGCTCGAAGCAGGTCACACAGCAGATCCAGATCTCCACGCCACTCCAAATCTGGTTCACCGCCAGCGAGACGTGATAGGGATTCACCAGCGAGACGTGATAGGGATTCACCAATGAGACGCGATAGGGATTCGCCAGTCAGACGTGATAGGGATGATTCTCGCTCCAGATCTAGATCGCCTGATGAAGAGTAGACTAACTGCAGCTCTTAGGGAAAGCCGTCATCCCTTTTTTGAAATACCAAGATAAGGGTGATTGACTGTCTTGACTCTCTGCCATGAAATGGAGACTCGGTTTCCGTTAGAAGATTCTTCTGCAGTATCTTCCAGAATAGATGCAGTAGATAAATGGTAAATGCCTGTTAAGGTTGCATCATTTTCATTGTTGGTCATTTTATATTTGTTTATGTAAGGCCAAATAACAAAGTGTTTCTCATCCCTGTCTGCCTCCTTTTTTTATAAGATAAGAAAAAAAGCCTGTGATATACATTTTGTTTAAATAGCTTCGAAAGTGATACAAATCATTTGTTTCGTCATGAATACATGATTGCATCAGTATACTCCCATAGCACAATATCTGTAAATAAATAGGCCTGGCCAGCTATAATTAGCAGCATGGCAGCCATCTTGGAAAAAAATAGCTAAATATAGTAAATAGTAATGCCCTGCCTCCTCCTTTTTTTTAGTCCGAAGAGAAACACGTTATTTATGTTATTTGGCCTTATTGCTGTAGGTGTTTTTTTTTTTAACCCCACTGTACTACTTGTAGCTTTTTGCTCCCTCTACATGTATATAGAAAACAATGCCTAATCGGTGACCATTGGGAGCCAAGTTGATGAGATAACCACCTGTCCAGTGACCTTGCAGGGTGGTCTAATCCCTCCTATAAACTAGTACAGATGGCCTTTAAATACTGCACCTAATCTTCATTCGCTATGAATTCCTCTTTTCAATACATTAACTTTGCTTTTTCAGTTTCTCCATTCACGTCTGTTTCAAACTCAAAGTGGCAATATCAGATGCAAATAAAAATGCAATCTACTCTATTTGAGCTCTGCTAGATTTGATATCAACTGGCCTGTTATAAAGGGCAAAGAACAGCAAATATATATTCTGTGGAGGAAGTAGCATCTGCTTCTGATTTGCAAATCCTGATATTGGGTTTACACTTCCAATGTGCCAAAACCTTTGAGCGGTAGTGTACATGTTTCTACACTCTACAAGTGTGAAACAAAGCTGATGTTGAAGATTTTCAAGGTCCATTTCTAGTAAGCATTATTCTTTGTGCTTAAAAGATTTTTTTTTTTAATTCCTCGGGCATCAGATTTTTTATTAAGGGGTAAGGTTGGAAATTTCTATTTTTAGGAAAAGCCTATTTCTTTATATCTCTTACATTTATCGTGCATCCCTTGTTACTCTTTATATTGCATGCTACATTTTGTTATGTCTGTTTTCTGTTTCTCTTGTCAAAGTATAACGGCATTTACAGTGCGTTTTCAAAAGGTTTTCGTCCACAGATGGAATAAGTGACTGAGTGTAACAATGCATGTTTATCTTTTTATAAACATTTTAATCTTTACTAGTTCAGAACAGTGTTATATATGAAGTGCATGTTTGGATCTTGCGTGAAAAGTTTCAGAGTTCTCATTTAAATGTACATGCCCAATTAATATCACACTGATCATGAACAAGAGTAATTACAGTGCCTCATGGTATTTAAATGTACAAAAAACACAACAACTTACAAGTTTTGCAAACCAAAATAGCTCATGAGAATTCCAGAAGGAGACTTTGATTTTTTGTACTAGAGTATTGTTGAAAGTGCATGCATTATTGCATTTATAAGGAAACCTGCTGCTACCATGTAAATATATCAAAAATCTGTGTCTTTTCACATTACAGCAGATATAACTGTACATTAATTGATTTCTCTCTAATTCGTTAATTTGTTCAAGCAGGAGGTTTTTTCCCAACAGTTTTGTTATTCTGAATAGATTCAAATTTCTCTGTTGTATAACTTGGACTTGGAATCCCTGATGGCAATTATTTATGTAAAATAATGTACATTATGAGTATTTGGATTCACCATATTTCTATTAAATCTTGGTGGATGTATTATCCAGCCATGTTTAAGTACAGTATGTTATATAATATAGAATAAAACCTACCGGTAAACATAGGCCCTGCGGATTCCACACTTAATTTGTTGTTTTCATTTGGGGGAGGGGGTCTTGAACAATCTATTGTGGGTCTTATCACATTTGGCCACTTAATACTTATAATATTTGTGGGGTCTACTCCTCACTCCTGGTTCAAAATGTTTACCGGTACTAATGTATACCCCATTACCCCTGCTTATGTTGGGCCCTGTTATACAGACTAAATATTGTTGCGATACAATAGCCCCCCTCCCCAAAGGAAACTTTTTAAAGTTATTTATTAATCAGATACACATGAATGTTGGAAGACATGATAAATTTGTAATGTGAACAGGTAATCCCCTTTGATTGTTGTATTATCCTTTATGGTGTTATAGGAAAAAATAAATACCAGTCTTCTTTTTTATGCTAACACTTGATTCCTTTTATCGTTTTCTTCTTACATAGCCACCAGTTATTGCCTGAAAGTATAGCGGTGGTTGGTGCAGTAAAAAGGGGGTGTTAGAATGTGCAGTTAAAGGTGATGCAGTCAGTCAGAGGCAAAGCTGTTTGCTGTAGTCAGTTTGTGCAGTCCAGTCTGATGGCCTGCCTGCCTGCCTGTTTCCAGTGCGTGTATGGTGCACATCAGTGTAGCTGTGTAGCAGCAGGCCCTGTGCAGCTAGCTGTGTATACCAGTAGAAAGAAAGCTGTGTAACCGGCCATGTGCAGAGCTTTGTTTACGGCACTGGGGAGGAGAAAGAAGTTGGTGGTGTTGGCGAAGAAATTCAAGAGCAAAATTGCAGAAAATGGGCTTGCTGTCGTGTTAGCTGTGCAGAACGGCACTTGAGCAGATAAGCTGTGCGCCACCAATTTCAGGCACTAGGGGAGAAGAAGCAGGTGAAATCAAAGAGCCAAATCTTGAAGAAAGAAAAATCAATTCATTTCTGCCTTTAATTTTGGACCTTTGTTTGGAGGAATTGTAAAAGAAATACAGTACCATAGTTGATGAGATGAATATCTGAATGCTGTCAAAATTTGTGAGGTGTGATTTTGGTTGTGAAAGTAACACCGAAGCTGTGACATCATAAAAATGTATTTTTAGAATTTCTCAATTTTTTCTTCATTTTCCAAAAGAGCATCAGAAATTGTGTCAGAATGTCGGATACTAATTGAATATGTTAAGCATTGGCTGAGATATGACCATCTCAATAAATAGATGTCCTATAGGAAGGAACTCAAGTGTTATATTGCTCTGGCTTGTAATGTTATGAACCAAAGCAATATAACACTGAGTTCCTATTGGAAATGTTTTTATGCAGATGATCATATCTCAGCCAATACTTAACATATTCAATTGGTTTTCGACATTCAGACATTATTTTTGATGACGTCACACTTCAGCACTCTATACAGAGTATTCCCTTTCCTTACTATTTTTAGCGCTGATCATTTCTTTGTTTGATTAAGGAAAAGGGCATGTGATTTTCAGATATTTTCCAGACATGTATACAAAAGCAGAAACGAAATTGCTTACAATGCCCTGTGACTTGTTTTGAAAACTTGACTGAAACTTTGTAAGTACCAAATTTGTAAATGAATTAAAAAGAATTTGTAGGCTCATTTGATACTAATTTGGGGTTATTCCAGGCCTGTGCAAGTGTTCATACAATAAATCACCCTACACTTTTTTCTCCTATAAGTTACACTCTTTGGTATTCAAAGGCAGTTTAATAGAACAGTTAACAAGTCTTCATGCCTGGAGTGTGATGCACACTCATATTGGATTAAATACCCAAATTACACACAAATGCCCTTTTTTGTTTAAATAAACATGCTGATACTGCTTTAGTTGACTACCTGTCTTCAAAGATCCCATTTTTTGTTTCCCTTGAATATGGTTTCTCATTGAAACATGTACTCGGGGAACCTGTCTACAATGACCACTTTTTGTGTTTCCCTTGGGTCATCGCTATACAGATTTGACTGTATATATACATTGTCAAGTATATTAAAGAACCAGCTCTCCTGAACTAAATCCTTGTCATGTGTCTCTCTTTCAAGAAGGTAATCTAAGAATTAAAAGGGTAATGACTACATTAGGTGTTCTGAAATCTCAATATTTATATCATTAAAAAAAAAAATCTTTAATTCAAGCACTTTGAAATAATCAGTTCTTTGTGATAATATACATGTAAACTGTCCAAAAGCCTATGTGTGCATGTATGAAATGACCAATTTGCATGTCAGTTTCAACCCTCATCTACATCCAGATTTACATTGAATAGGATAATGTAATGTTATACCAATCATGTTTATATGATCGATGATCTTGCATAAACATGCCTTATATCTCAACAACTAACAGTAGTTTGTTCTTCTAGTCACTTGGGTAACCAGATGTTAAGGGCTTTGAAAAAGTAACAATGTACAACAATCTCATGTGTTGTCTCATCTAGGATGAAAAGTGCCCATGGGGCTATGGAGGGGGAATAACTCTTTGAAAATAAGAATGTGTAATTCTAGCATTGTTACGGCCTAGTAAGGTATAGAGACTTGGAGAGAAAAGAATGTGTTGAAAAGAAGTAGGATCTCTAATCCCAGGATGTACAAGAGTGGTTATTCAAAAAGAGTGAGCTAATCAGAGAGAGTGAGCTAATCAGAGAGATCTCTAATCCTAGGTTGTAATTAAAGAGTTGGTTATTCTGGAGGGCAAGAATGCTGTGAATAGAAGGATATATAATCTGAGGATGTGAAGTGACAAGGAGTATTCCTAAGAGAAAAATGATGAGAAGAATGTGTAATCTGGGTGTGTAAAAGTGTGAAGATTAGTTCTTCAAGATGTGCCTTGAGTAAAGATTGCTTTGAAAAGGAGAATCTGCAAACCCAGGATCTTGAAGGACTGATTTATCATATTTTTAATCTTGGAGAGAAAAATTACATTGATAAGGGGCTGGTTATTCAAGAAATCTCTTTAGAGAAGAATGCCTTGATAGTAACATTCATGGCCAATCTCCCTATAGATAGGCGTGTCCAGTACATTATAGTTTGGGGAGTTGTTGAGGTTGTAAGAAGGTTAATATGGTCTTGGACCAAGATCAGGGTGATTCAATTTATAATCTTATATGTCTGAAATATGGTAAACAATTAGTTAACAGTGCATTTATTCCTATGGGTTTTCAATTTTCATGGAAATGAAAATACAAAGCTTGACCAGGCGGACGCGCATATTTTTTTTTACGCATCCAGTTCAGTCAAAATACTGTGCAAACGACTAGAGACATTACCCTTGGCAGTATTTTTGGATTGCTGGAGCTGTACATGACTTGTGTACATACTCGTTATATTTTTGTTTCTCGTTAAATCTATCCTTTTCTCCTTCGTTATGTACTATGTTTCTCCTTCAATCTATCCTTCAGTTCTCCTTTGTTCTCCTTTATTATATCCTTTTTCTCTTTCGTTTTACTTTTTCTTTGTTTCTCCTTCTATCTATCCTTTTCTCCTTTGTCATCTATTTCTTTGTTTTTCCTTCAATCCTTTTCTCCTTTATGTGCTTTGTTTTTCCTAAAGTTAGTCTATACCCGAATCTATCATCCTCTTGGCTCTTCCGTTATGTATTTCTATGTTCTTCCTTCGACTTATCCTCTTCTCTTTCCTTTCCTTTCCCTTTTCTAACATCTTCCCCTCTCTGGGTGTAGATGTGCTTGCACATGTAGTGCGCTGATGACTATAGACTCTAGCTTTCACCAGAGCACTTCTAGGATTTTTTTGCGAAAATGACTCGACAGTTGTGTAAAAAAAAATATGTGCGACCAGGACATGCACCACAGGATTTCTTTAATTTTTCATTTTATCCTCCCATGAAAGGAAACAATTAAAAAGGAAGCTCACCACACCTCATTAGTAGCTCGAACAACAACAACAACAACAAATCATAATAGTGGAATGTAAGCTGTTCTCCTTTACATTTATTCTCTAAAGATATAATCAAGTTTAGCAGGTACAGTAGTTTCCATGTACTCTAAAGTATGTCTGTTGTCTAAACTAACTTTTCATCCTTGAACATCCGATTCATCAGTCATAAGAACACCTTACAATTCTACTGAAATTTGTGTTATAAAATAATGACCCGCCTGTCGGTTGGTTGTCGGCAAATTTTTATTGTGATGGTTTTGTTAAAGGGACTATGTCCCATTTGCAGGCCCAAAAAATGAAAAAGTTAAATTCCAACTGCATTTGAAAGATAATACTTATTTAGAACTTCCCTAAAAAAGGTGGGGCTTGAAAATGTCTTCAAGTAGGAAAATAACGACTATTAGTTGTCAAATCGACTTTAGGGCTATAGAGCCCAAAAGTAATAGTCTTGATTTTCAGACAATTGTACCGAATGGTCATACATTTTATGCTGCGCAAAGATTCAATCAGTTTAATCTTGGCCATCACAAGAAGTGGGTTATTGATGTAGACATGCTCATGTACCCTTTACAACTCTTTTCATGTAGTTATTACCAAAGAAGAAAAAAAGCCAGTCAGTCACTCAATAGTGTCTGACAGTGAAGTCTAGCAAGTAAACGGGTTTCCTTGCATAATTTGAATATGAGGAAACTGCTAACGTTTAAATTTCACAGATAGGACATACATGACATATTCATAATTCCTGCAAAGTTCTACAGCATTTGAGGTTGGCTGCAAAAGGGACATAGTACCTTTAAAGTTTAAACAGTGCCCAGAATCCACCCCAATCTTGTTCTTGCTGTAAAGTATCAGTACACGATCTCAATTGTATGTACAGTTATCTTCTTTAATTTCCCAATTTAATTTTGAATTGAACAAAAATATCGGGCTGTCTGAAACCATATGTGCAATAAATGTTTATGTACTCCAGTTAATAGCGTTTTGGAAATGTCAAATAAGAAACCCATCTAATAAGACTATGTATAATCCAGTGATCCTGAAGACGATGGAAAATCTGGAACTGAATACAAAGGCATGACATATTTCACGAAATACTTCTGTGTGTCAAATTGGCAACGCGATCTCTAAATATGATGACACCCTCTCACATTTGAACCTTTGTTGAATGCAAGAAATGTCATTTAGTTCCATTTTTATCAAAAGATATATTTTCTTCATCCCTATCTCGAGCATATATCACGGATAACATGTTCTTTCAAGCACCCCATATGAGATAGGTCTACTATATTCCATTAACATTCAGAAAAATTGAGGTTGAGGGCCTTTTTTCATTTAGATCAGTGGTGAATTATGAGGGGATGATGACATCACAATGTCCGACTGCATTGCCATTATGTCTCAAAGATTACACGATTTTCATAATTTTGAAAGATTAAAAACTTTCTTATTATAGTGTTTGAGCCTGTGTGTTTGATAGAGAGAGGGAGGGGTGTTTTTTTTTTTGGGGGGGGGGGGGGAGGAACGGTACGATATATACGGACATCATAAAACGCAGGTTATGGGGCGAGATAAATTGTGGAATATTAGAAATGAAAGGAACGAGAGCATGATGAAGAGAGAGAAAAGGACTGAAGAGGAGGAGCATAAATTTACAAAAAATGAAATGGATAAAGATCGAGCTAGCAAGGAGATGGATATAGTGTTTTTGTGCGAGTGATACAAAAAGACACCTGAATGGGGCCAAAGGAAGGGAGACTAATGAGGGAGGGAGCTTACAACATATATTTTATTCAGGGGCGAATGGGCGCGCCACACGGGGGGGGGGGGGGGGGGGGGGGGGGGGGGGGGGGGGGGGGTCTGAGGGGGGAGTTGAAGATTTTTTTTTTTTTAATTGATGTATAAATGGCTCGCTTTGGTGCGTATTATCTGAAGGGGGATTTGCCCCCCTCAGAAGTTGAAGATTTTTTTTTAATTGATGAATAAATGGCTTGATTTGGTGCACACTTTTTGCTAAATTAATATTCTTAAGTTCAACTAACAAGAACAGGGGGGGGGGGGTGTCACCATATTTTTCAGAAAGGTTGTTATAGATGAATTTGTCGTTTCCATTGAATAATCAGCCACAAGGTTTAGGGGATAAAAGGGATTAATTTTATTTATTTTTTCTTCAGTTGGATGGTGAAAGGTTTTTCTTCGTAAGCCATGTTTGAACTTCCGGTAATGTGAATGTTTTAATGACGCGTCTAAATATGATCACCTGATTGAGCTTGCTTTTTCTCTCTTTTTCTTTATTTTCTCTATCTTTATTTTTTTCTCCTCTCAATCCCCCGCCCTCCCTTTCGTCATAATTTATATGTTATATGGTTCTCTTTTTCTGGCCTTCCGCCTTCTCGTCCCCTCCTTTTCTTTTCTTCTACTTTTCGTTTCTTCTCCTTCTTTTCCTTTCCTTTTCCTTCTCCTTTTTCTCTTTTTTCTTCCCTTCCTCTTCCCTTTTTTTCAAAATGATAGGGGGTGGCTGCCCCCCCCCCTGTGGCGCCGCCCCTGATTTTATATACAGACCCATTGGATGTTATTATAAAGAAGTCGATCAAAATTACGATAAGGGTGATCAATTACCCGATCAGAGATGCTATAGCCTGCAAGTAATGAAAACAAAAGAAAGATAATAATATAATAAGTAAAACGAGTGCTTATGATGCGCATATTATACCACAGAAGCCTCTAAGCGCTATAATAAACAAAAAACAGTGATGAACAGTTACATATTAAACAAAACAAAAAAATGCAAATAAACCTACAAATGTGACATATGAAATATACATTAATGTGAACAGAGTAAGTTAATCATCGAAGGCAAATTTTGAAAAAAAATGTCATCGTGTCTGAAGACAAGTTTTGAATTGGTTGACAGTTTTTTAACATGATGATAGAGAGGAAAAGAAGAGGGAAGGAAAGGGATTAGGAGGATGGGGGTGGGGGAACAAAAGAAAGAAAATTATAGAAATGGAAGAAAAAAAAAACAGTGCCCTCCTCTTTCAGGTACCCCAAAAGTGCCTATAGGAAAAGTGCCCTTATTAATTTTTAAAAGTGCCCCTTCCCCCTTTTCACCTCTGATAAG